TAATCATGCTGTGTGTACATGATGTGTGTAAGAACAGTCAGCGCATGCGTTCTTCCCCTTTAACCATGACTGGCAATATTCTTGCAATATGCTTGTAAATGGTATTTGCATGATCGCTGTCTGATTCATGCGTTTAGCGCCACCAAGGGCTTAGAGTTGACAAATGGCAGACAATTGGTTGATCAAATCCCCCACTCGTTCATACTGACACTAAAGTTATACACTCCTTTGCATTTGCAATTTTGCATTGTGTTGTTACCTTCAATTACACCATAACATGCACTTATATTGAAAATGAGCTCATTATCTTTCTTTTTTATTGAATTATTACCAGTTAGTAGAGTTATAATGCGAAATTAATGATTACATGAGTAGAATTATGACATAGTTGACAGTTGTAACATTTTCAGGAAACTAACTCAAGAACAATTCACTGCAATATTGGCTATATAACTTATGTTTGGATTGTGTAAATGTCATTATAATGTATGCACATTTCTAAAGGTGATGCAAGGAATATTGAAAGTGCCTACTCTGATGTCTTGAAAGTCTTTGAAAGTCTATTGATAAAGAAGTTTTTAAGTTAGAACATTTATATACAAAACTAGCCAAGTGAATGTAGTCGTGGAGGTGATAATAAAAGTAGTTGCAAGGCTAAAAAAAATAGAGACTGAAGACATTTTGTCTGCATTATTATGAACCGACAAATTTGTCATATATATTACTGTACAGATTGGTCAGCTCGTCATATCAATGACAACCATGACGATAAAATCGTCGCCTGGCTAGCAGAAGGATGTTAGCTCAAATTTCAGGTAAAAAATGAAGCACTAAGCAGATCTTTAGCACTAAATCACCTCAAACTTTTATAAAACTGACTTATTTTCGAGAAAAAAATTGTGACCTTCTTCTACTCAAACATTTCTATTAGCCCTTTAAGTTTTAAATCAATTTTTGGGACGGAAAGCAGTTTAAATAAAAAACAAATCTTTAAACGTTGTGAACAGGAGTAATTCAGCCTTTGACTAAGGAGCACCATCTAAATATAACTATAATTGAATTAAATGGAATTGAAAATTCTGAGGAACCTCCTTTTAGAAATGTTCCCCCTTGTCACTGCCATCAGCTCTCTCTAACTTCAAGTCGCTTTACAATAGAAATCCATGGTTTAGGATGGCAAAGCTAGTAAAGGAGAAGGTACTCTATCCATTCTCATCGTGACGGAGCACGGAAGGAAAAAGGGTCTCAGCGTCGTTAAGTAGCTCCCAGGTCGAGCTCTCTCATTGGTTAATGACTCACTCTCACCGGCTGAGCCTGTCATGAGAGGAACTTACTAAAAAGACAATAAGATATGAAACCACTCAAATTCACATTAAAGGGGTCCCACCCTCCGAAATATTTTGCTATATATCTTTTGGATTCCTTGCTGGTATACTATATTCAAAACATCAGCTCAAAATACTACGTCTAGAAAGGGATATAGGAATTTGAAGCACAGAACTTGGGCTTTTGATGAAGGGTAAATTGACTCCTTAGGACACTAAACGGTAGTTTACATATATGTGCACAAATATTTTCTGGACTCCAAGTTAACTTTGGTATAAAATAATTGTTCCCTGTAGACTGATTTATCCTTTTGCATTTGAATGTTATTGTAGTCATTCTATTTTTAGAGGGATTTTATGTAATTTCACAATTAAATGTACACATTTTGTTTTGTTGTTGTTGGGCATTCATGTTATTGGATCACTTAAAAGATGATCTTAAAGTAATTTTTAATGTGAAATCTAGTGACTTTAAGAAATCAATTTTTAATCATACCTGATCTTCCTTTCCATATAAAACGTTAAAGATATAAGGGATGAGAGGACACATGATCCGAGTCACATGATCCAAGTCACATGATCAGAGTCACATGATCTGAGTCATATGCAACCACAATATACATTATTTATGGAACGCCAAGTGTCCACCTCATAATCCTGTACGCCAATTAATGATATAAATTGTGATGGAGGAGATATCAGCGGGCTTTAATAGCTAGTTTAAGGGAAAAGGGTAGCTTATTGTATCCCTACAAAAAAAAAATTCAGTATATTTGTCTATCTGTCTATCTATCTGTCTATCTATGTGTCTATCTGTCTATGTATCTATTTGTCTATCAATATATTGCTTCTAATGAATAGTATTTCTTCCTACCAAACTAAAAGTTGTGAACAGCACCTAACATCAGTCAATGTTCAAGGTCTGCTCCCATATGGTGCTAGAAACCATGCAAGTTTTTTTCTTCGAGTACATGAATGGCAAGTGGGAGAAAAAAATAGCTAGGCAAAAATGGTCCTACACATATGGGGCGTTGCAAGAAAGTTGCGATCGATTGCAAGTTGCAAAATTTGCAACTAATATTTGCATTTGATTGCAACTCAACTTTCTTGCAAGCCCCACTGGTCTCCTAAATTTCCTAGGATTTTGTTAGGATTACATTTTTAAAAATTAAACTAAGTTAACTAGATCTAGCTTTTATTCTCTGCCCTCTCTCTCTCTGTTACTATTGTGGTGTTGCAAGAAAGTTGAGTTGCGATCAATAGCAAATTTGCAATTAATCGCAAGACTTACACTTGATTTGGTGGATTTGCAATTGATTGCAACTTTGTTGCAACCCCCCAATAGTCTTTTATCTGTGTCTTACAAGATAGAGAAATGTGAGGATACTTACGCTGATATCATCATGAAAAAATGCTGTGCTTTACTGCATCAAACATAAACGAGGCTCTGGTAGCCGATTGGTCAAGATTGCATAATCATGTAGGACTAAATTTGTCTCGATGACCATCATTAGCAAAGGTGGTAATGACGCAAGTCTCAACAGAGAATAATTCATGACGTCTGTGTTTGCACTGCCAGACATTCTCATCATTTGTGTCTAGCAGTGCAGTCATACTTTGTTTCATCTACGTTAAGTCTGTTCAGAGCAAGAAGGGCATTATATCTGTGTTTAATTTAATTCAAGAATATGTGGTTATGCCCTTCTGGCTCCAAATAGAAAATTTGCTCTGGGATTTATTTCATCAAAGATATCCGGTTAGGGCTTGGGTTGGAATTGGGTTTACGTTACATGTAGGTTTAGGGTTAGGTTGAGGGTTAGAGTTAGGTTTAGGGTTAGAGTTTAGGTTTAGGGTTTAGGGTTTTAGGTATACATTTAGTGTTGGATTGAGGATTGAATTCAGTAAGTATCAGAAACTCACTGCTCTATTATTAGAGGACCATGTGCTGCAAAATCAAGCAAAGGAATTAAAGAGGAAAAGGGGAGCGGGTAGAAATTGGTTGGTATGATTGGCGCGGGGGTGGGGGGTGGGGGGGGGGTGGGGGTCATAGAGTTGGGGATGGGGGTGACAGGAAGACAGCGTACCGGAGGAGTGCTAATTCTTCTTTCCTTTTCTTCCTGTTATTCAAGTAGAAATGTACACATGGGAGACTGGTACTCATACTGAAATCTGACTGGTAATCATTTGTCATATTACAAGGTTGTGTTTTGTGTCCTTATCTTTCTCTCTCTTTCTCTCTCTTTTCTCCATCTCTCTCCCTCTCTTGTTTTTAATATCTGTATCCCTTTCTCCCCTCTCTCTCTCTCTCTCTCTCTCTCTCTCTCTCTCTCTTAAGTAGTAGGGAAAGCAAAGAAAGGAATAATGATAGCAAAAAACTAATTAATTACTTACAGAGGTTTGGAGAATGCAGTTCTTACCAAAAGAAAGATGTTTCATTTATTCCTTTGTGGTCTTGTCAAGTTTTTGAAGTGGTATTTTTTCATCAAATAAAGGAGTATTTCTCTCACCAGGTATTGAACGGTGAGTTCTCTTCAATGTTTGGATTAATAACATTATTGATGTTACATGAAACTGGGCTTCAACCATTGCATATATGTACATTTCTTTCCTTGTGTTTTATGTTTCTGTTTTTTGCTTTCAATAAAAACATTAACACAAACAAATGTTTTGAAGAATGATTCATGTCCCTTTTTATCTTACCAATTAGTGAATAGTTATGTATCAGCATAATTGTATGATCGTTTGATATGAATGCTGTAAACCAGAGAAGTGGATGAATTATAAGAGTAAGAAATCAGCTTATCATTCCACTCATGTTTTACAGCATAATCTTCTAGGTGGGTCAATAAATAGAAGCTTTAAAGGTAAAGACCAGTTTTGGAACGCTCCCCTTTCAAAAAATGAAATGGAAGCTCTTATTACCGATCATGTGAAAGAATATGTTTTGATCAATACGTGATGATACAAATTTTGCTGAGAAACCGCCTACTAATTGATATATTTGGTAAATTATTATATCTATTTGGACCTGATAGATATAACGCACATGCGCACACGTGACGTGTAGTCCCATATACATCTTTCTGTGTACAGTGCTTGTAACTTTACCAAGACTGGGCCAAATTTCCTATCATTTTGATGATTCCAGAACCTTGCAGTACACACCAATACTTATATGCTAGATGATCAACCTTTTCTGATCGATTCCACAACGTTTCTTTCACAATTCAATGACCAAACTGGTATTCATCTTTAAATTGGCTGCACATGACAGTATACATACATGTATTTGCAGTCATCCCATAATACACTTATGAGTAAAAGGGATGTATATATCGTAAGAATGAAAAGAAATACAATTATTGCCAGTTGAGAAGGTGAAGCATACCCAACAATTATTTGTTACTGTCTCGTCTTTTTCCCTCTTCCTATCTCCCTCTCTCTCTCTCTTTCCCCTCTCTGTTTCTTTCTTTCTTCTTTCTAACCTTCTCCCATTCTTTTCTTTCTTCTCTCTCTTGCTGTTTTCTCTCCCTCTCTCTCTCTCTCTCTCTCTCTTTCTCTCTCTCTGTTCCTTTCTTTATTCTCTCTCACCTTCTCCTCCCATTCTTTTCTTTCTTCTCCTCCCATTCTTTTCTTTCTTCTCTCTCTCTCTCGCTCTCTCTCCCCAACCTGTAGAAGCAAATGGTTCGTGAGGGTAAGATGCATGGTTTTCTGCGCATGTACTGGGCTAAGAAGATCCTGGAATGGACTACATCACCGGAGGAAGCCCTAGAGATCGCCATCTACCTCAACGACCGATATTCCCTAGACGGCCGCGACCCCAACGGCTATGTAGGTCAGTATCATCAAACCCATTGGCTATGACATTCCCCCTTCATCTCTTGCCCTCACCCCCTCACCCACCCCCTCCCTCCAATGAAATGGGTTGAATTGGGTCTGGACTCTGCAAGTAGAATACCCCTACAAGTAGAGTTGTCATATAGTAAAGTGGTTTAAACATCTGACAACGGATGCCAAGGTTATTGGTTCAAGACTGTGCATGGCGCTTACATACATATCGTCGGTGGGGTGACAAAACCTTGTATCTCAAAAATCATGAATTTTCAGGAGAGCGTAAAAACATTTCCTGTCTCAACAGGCTTAGTGCTGTGACACCGTCCTTTGTGTGGAATTTGTGAAAAAACCGAGACAGGAGGCGTTCCATGGATTTATCAGGTGGTGTTGTAGGCCATTAGGTACACAATTATGCAAAAAAATCAAAATCTCAAAAAATTGAGATACAAGGTTTTGTCTCCCCATCTATTTATCTGTTTATCTGTTGTATTTATGTGGAGGGAGGGAGGTGGTGCAAGAATGAGTCAGGAAATGGTTTCAGAAGAAATTCTTAAAAAATTTTTTGTTCAATATTTATTATTTATGTTCTCGTATTGCTATCTTGTGTTACACATTTAGGTTGCATGTGGTCTATTTGTGGCATCCACGACCAAGGCTGGGGCGAGAGGCCTGTCTTTGGCAAGATCCGCTTCATGAACTACAAAGGCTGCAAGCGCAAGTTTGACGTAGACACTTTCGTCAACCGGTACAAGAAGTACAACCTGTGAGGAGACAAATTTTATCATTCTTTTTCAACAAACAAGAGTGAGTGAGGTTGAATTTGCTGAAGTGCGGACATCAGCTGGTACAAGAAATGCACTCTCTCAGAGATACATGTACCTTGCCCGTTTGTGAGATATGGATTTAGTTTTGTAGATTTGCTATTGAAACTGAGTTTAGTTTAAAGTTCTAGAGCAGTGGGTGAAATGGATCAACATTTGTGATCTTTATTGGTGTAAAAAGTGTGGGTTTAGACTTTACAACAGTGTGTGAAACAGAGGTCTAGTTTTGTACTTTTTCATTGGTAGTGAATCTAATTTAAGAATTGTGAGCAGTATGTAATTTGGTTAGTAATGAGTACATCGTGATAAATTTAACAGGGATGTTGACATATGGTCTGAAAATATCAGTCTAGTCTAAATTGGGTCCAGGACCTAAAGAATGTGTGATACCCAAAGGATTCATGCTGTATACATCCACAAGGATCTAATATAAGTACGTCATTTTAGTAATGTCCAGACGGTTGTGGGTTTATTTAGTAGTGTGCATAAACATGTAGCATTACTGAATTAAATGTTCCTTCTGGAAATAACTACATGTATTACGACAGTCTTTCAAGAGTGTGCTGTGAAGGTCCGCTCACATATTCAGCTTTATGAAAACTTTCGGTATTTAAAGATAAAGGTGAGTTCTGGTCATCTGATTGCATTATGACAGAAAAGGTGTGGAATGGATCAGAAAAAGTTGATCATGTAGCATGTACGTTTTGGTGTGTACTGCAAAGTTCTGGAGTCATCAAAATCACAATAAATTTGGCCCAGTCTTGGTAAAGTAACAAACACTGTACACAGAACTACACAAATGATTTCAGGGCTACTAACCTTGATTTCCTAATTTTTCTATGCTCGTTACTCAGCCAGTAATCAGTATGCATTTTCTTCCAAAATTGTTTGGCACATGACATTTATTTGTAATCTTGAGCATTCAGTGTAAGTTTCGTTTGAGTCTGTGAGAATCCATTTTCTTTTTTTACCAGAACTCAAGTTTATCTTTAATAAATAAGTGAATAGCAAGGAGGGGGTGAGAAAAATAAAATCATCTGTGCAAAACAAAAAGCTCCTAACCATACTTGTGTTGCAGAAATGTGAGGTGCACTTCGCTTATATCATTACACCATTACAGTAATGACAATGTATTCAGGGAAACTTGCCGAGAGAATGGTTGATAAAAAGTCAATGCTAAAGCCTTGACTCTAGTCATTTTCAGTATCATTTCATCATTTTGTTTGTTTGTTTTTGTTAGTTGGAAACTAGTGTTTCAGTTCCATACAGTATATGGTAAATAAATCATTGCTAAAGCCAGACTGTAGTCTACATCATTATGTCATTTCTTAATTTAGTTAGTTTGTTTGTTTTGTTTGTTTTATAATAGCAGGAAACTAGTGTTTCAGTTTCATACAGTATTTCTTTTCATACTTTGTGTGGGGTCTAAGGGAATGGGGTTAGGGAGGGGGCAGGGTAAGCAAGTACTTTCTGGATGAATTGATTAAACTTAACAACATTTTGGCTTCTAATGAAAATGTTGGAATTTAATCTTTTCTTTAAAAAATATAGAAGGAACAATGTGTCAATTATTTGATGATACTGGGGGGGGGGGGGGTGCACATTGTTAAACGTACTGCAGGTACATGTGTATCCCTTTGAATATGTTCAGCTTTTAACATTTGAACTTAAATTTAACTTGAGCAGCGATAAATATGGAAAATATTTATAGTTTTGGCATTGATAGGTAAAATAGGATAACAGTTATGTTTTCTTTTGAAAGTAAATACATTCTATTTATTCTTCATTTAACTTTCTGCAGAATAACAAGGGTAAGACTTTGTAACATAAGTAAATTTAATTAGTTTAATATTGGAAACAAAACGAAATATATCCTCTCGTAGCCGTTTCAAGTGATCAAAATATGATGTGTGTGAACTACAACCATTTCTGTATGAAAGGCAGAAATACCATGCACAAATTCTGTTGTATTTATTGAGTATTCATATACTGTATGTATCCGACCATTTCTGTTGCCAGGGTAAACATTTGTACCATTTTATAGATACACATGTTTTTCTTTTAATCTTTTGATACAACTTTGTGTATATCATGTATAGTTTTCTAATAAAACAGCATTTTGTAGACTAGTTTTTCACATTTTCTTGTTTTGGGCAGAGAAACACCCAGATTCATGGATAAATGTTATTACAAATATTTTTCCCTCATTTTTCTGTTTCTCTTTTCCCCCTCATACCTTTTCTGCCTTTCAGCCTCCCTCCTCTCCTTTCCTTCCTCCATCTCCCTCACCAACCCCCCCCCCCCCCCCCCCCCCCCCCCCCCTCTCCCTCACCACCCCCCCCCCCTCTCTCTCTCTCTCCCTCATTCCCCTCCCCCTCTCTCTTTCTCCCTTTCTTTCTTTCCCCAGGGGCCGATCTAGGGGGGGGGGGGGAGGTTCGGCGGTTAAACCCTCCCCCCCCCCCCCCTTGTCTGCTAAGTGAGAGGAAGAATAAGAAAGGGAAAGAAAAAAAAAAGAAGAAAAAAGTAAAACAGCACAATTTTTGGAAAATCCTGGATCTGCACTGGGTCAAACCCCCTTTTGGCAAAAAGCTAGATCCGCCCCTGTTCCCACATGAGTGGCAGCACGATCGGAAGATGACTAACAGTTAATACGCTGCAGGTTCACACACACATATCACTCACTCCTTCACACGCTCGCTCATGAGCTGAGTAATAGAAGATGGATAATAGATTAAGAGTTTTAATTGCTAATCTACTATCCCTGCAATGTTTGAAAAGTTGTACATGACACACACTCTCTTTCTCTCTCTTTTCTGTATGTGACTACTGTATACCTCCAATCTTGGTTTATCACCGTCTATCAAAACTCCACCTTTATCTAAACAAATAGATATAAATTATCAATTGTACGAGCTGAGTAATAGAAGATGGATAATAGATTAACAGTTTTAATTGCTAATCAACTATCCCTGCAATGTTTGAAAAGTTGAACATGACAAACGCTCTATCTTTCTCTCTCTTTTCTGTATGTGACTACTGTATACCTCCAATCTTTGTCTATTATCTTTTCTTCAATAGAAACTCAACCTTTATTTAAACAAATAGATATGAATTATCACCGACTGGAACAATCTTCCTCAGTCTGCGGTCACAGCACCAAGTTTGAATAAGATTACTCGATAATTATTGGTCTAAATTCTAGTATGTTGCGCGTGATCCATCTATCTAGTGTGCCCTCAAAGTTGAGAACCATAAAGAAGTAGCGACCGGAAGACCAACAGGACTACCTTTTCTTCAGTACACTGTGGATGTTGATTTTACGATTTTTAACTACTTGACATAATTAAAGATACATACTTTTATATAACAAAAATATAGAAATATGAATATTCCAGTGTTGCCAAGTTGGAAAATTAAAAGATGGTCTATTGAGCACATTAAAATTCGCATCCTGAAATTTCTCTTTGCAAACAAAGGAACTTACAATTGTTTTCCTACATTATCTAGGCATTATAATTAAGCATCAAGCAGTAGTTGAACTCTGAACCAGACGAAAGGATCAGACAGGGCGGCTACCGTTCATATAAACTGATCTGTTTTGGCTGCACTCCAAAGCCTTTTCCCCAAGGTTCTGATGATGCAATGAAGATGGCATTTAGAAAACATATAATTTTCCCTTCATTTAGGCACAAAAGTTTCACAACTGTGATGCTGAATCCTGTTCTTAAGGAAGGGCTCAACACCACAGGTCTCTGGGACGTGTATGCGGGACGCATGGGCGGGCACACAAAGTTTAAATTTAGATCCCCAAAATATCAACACTTTTACATAGGGCATGCATGTAGGTTCTAAAACATTAAATCCGGACCCTATTCCAAAAAAGTGGAGCCACTCTTTAACCCTTTATAGCCTGGGCTATTTTGAAACTGCATAGCCTGGGGTGGGGGGGGGGGGGGGGGGGGTTCTAATGCCTACCTCGGCCGTAAAAGATTGCAGCGAAAGATTTGCATGCGTATCAAGTGACGTGTATAAAACACTGGTAATTTCAACTTTTTGAAAAATTCACTCATTTTCAGATTTTTGGTAATATACCGGTATGCAATTAAAGTCATAAAATTCACATTTTTACCCATAAATCATATATTCTTCATATTTTAACAGTCATTTTCACTACATGTATTCTTTATACCATTTGGAATAATAATACAACAAAAAAATTTGGAAGAGCCAGGTTATTCCTTATGTTATCTATTGTTCTGAAAATGTCTTATCTATTTTTTTGTTTTTTTAACTTACGGTATGTATTTTATTGTTTTATTTCATTTCGAACTATAATTCAACTTTTTGGCCCCCAAAAAACAGTCACCTTAACTATAAACAAGACCAAATAACCAATGTTTTATCTCTTTTTTGGAAAAATGATGACTTTGTAACGGTAGGTCTGATTTTCGAAAAAATTTGTTTCAAAAGATGCGCAAGACTCGAAAGAAAGAAGTAATAAAATTCCAGCGAAAAATTCTTTCGCGAAAAATGTAGAGGAGGGGGGGGGGGGGGGGAGAAGAAGAGTAGAAAAGGTTCAGTAAAGCAGAGAAATACTAGTCGAAGTAGTCCACATTTAGTGATTAGAATAAAGAGATTTGAGGGGAATTCTAATGAAAAAACAAATCATTTTCCTAGATCCTGCATTCTTCTAAATTGTTTGAATCTGACAGAGGTTCCAAGTCAACAGCGGGAAAAGTAAGAAAGAAGCATCGAGTCTCAATTTGGTAGAAGATGAGCCTTTTTATATCCGATCACAAAGACTATAACAAAAGGAGTTAAAGGTAGCATTAAAAACCCTATTGCTTATTCTACAGAATTCATGTTCTGATTGGTGTAATGTCACTGCCACATGTGCACAGATTAGTACCGGTAAGTGCTACACGCCTCGGATTGATAACAAACTAGGCCATTTTCATAATGTATCCAAATTTATGCATATGTCTTTGTGAAGCGCCTCAATACAAATCATTTCATTCACCTGCTATGAATACCTGTAGTCAGAATTCAAATTGCATACATAAGTTGTTGCTAGGTAGGACAAACATTATTGCTTGCCCCACCTAACAACACATAATTATATGCAATTTGCATTCTGACTAGTGAAATACATACATTTTTTAACAGGTGAATGACATCAATCGCATCGAGGCTTTAAAGTATAAATTTGGTTACATTACAAAAATGGCCCATTGTGTTAACAACCAACTCGAGAGTTGCACATCACATGAGACAACTGTTCAGCTTGAAGTCCCTACGCTAACTAAATAGACCCCCTAGACCATGCAGTTCAGGGTTAGCACATGTCCCAAATGACCCTGAATATCCACAGATCTTTAAAACATGAAGAGGTCCCACTTTGTACATTTTGAAATAATTTTGAAACTCCTACAGCAATGGAGGTGCTACATAAATAGCCTTTGTTTCCCCTTTCCAAATAATACTTCCACCTGTGTTCCATGGAGTGCATTGCTTGTGCATATATAAATAATGATTACATAACTTTCATGAGCACTTATCCAGTATTTTGTCTCTGTGTATTTCACAATTTGGTCTGCAATGATCTTTATCTGCTCATGCTCAGACTGCAACTATTATTCTTAACTTCAACCCTGGTCCCAAACACTATACCTAACCCAGACCCTAAATCTAAGCTAAAAGCGAAAAGAGTGTTTCATCAACTAAAATTGATTTTGATCTTAAAGGGGAATTCCACCCCTATGATAAGTTTTAATATAAGAAGTACGTAGAATAAATTAAAAAGTTATGGATTCTTTAAATCCATAATTTTTCATGAAATACTTCAAATCTGTAAGTCAAATTGGCAACACGGTCTCTAAATATGATGTCACCCCCTTCACAATTTTATCCTTTGTTGAATGCAAGAAATGTCATAAAATTCCTTTTTTATCAAAAGATATATTTTCTCTGTGCCTATCTCGATCATATATCGCGGATGACACATTCTTTCATGAACCCCCATATAAGATAGGTCTACTATTCCATTAACATTCAGAGAAATGGAGACTTTGGGTCATTCCATCATTCAGATCAGTGGTGAATTGTGAGGGGATGGCATCACAACATTCTGACCACATTGCCAATTTGTCTCAGAGATTCCATGATTTTCATGATTTGGCAGAGTCAATAACTTTTACTAAATTGTTTCTCTAATTTTTCTGCTTCTATTCAAACCAATTTATTATCAGGGTGGAATTCCCCTTTAAAAAAAAATCTGATCAATTGTAAGGATTTATTTCATCAAAGCTACAAGGCTTAGGTTTTAAGGCAAATGTGGCATCATTACGAGTACGGTAACCTAAAGTATATATGTACATGTACTTGGGTGAGTAAAAAGTTTGCGAGTTGCTCTTGAATCGGCCGAGAGTGCCTTTCCTTCCCTTTCGTCTTTTTAAGTGACCTCAACTTGACCCGAGTGCCTAATGATGTTAATTATGAATCACTTTCCTTTACGGCTGTGGGAACTTGGAGAGCTTTCTGGGGGGAAAGAAGGGGTAGGGGAGAGAGAGAGAGAGAGAGAGGGAGTGAGTGTGTGTATGGGGGGGGGGGGTGAAAGAGAAATAAAAGAGACAGCAAAAGAGAGATAGAGAAAAAAATAATTGCTTCATAAAACAATTTAACAAAGCTATATAAAAAGAAAACTGAAACTACTGATGGTACAAGTACAAGGCAGCAAAGCAAAGACATTCGACAACAGATTAGGGGAAAAATTCAAACTTTTATTTATCCTTCGTAAGAACACACAGTCGTTACAGTACAATACGCTGCCTAGAGCTACCGTTCTATGCAATTTGCATTGCCACGTTAACAATTGAATTCATTTTCCTCTCTAAAGAAAATTGCTCATAAGGACAGCTTCATACACACTTAAGTTTTTATTTGGAATATTACAATCTTTAAAAATATCAAAATAGGGCTACTCAATCCATTGTATTCAAAGAAATTGGCATCCTTTCGATCTAGGAGAAAGGGATCCGCTCAGTTTTTAGAAGTCATAAAATTTGAATTTTTCCTAAACTTTAAGAAACAACCCATGAATATTCATATCAATAGGTAAAATTTGGTATAATCGCAAGTAAACTACATCCAGATTGCAATGAATGAGTGATCACAGTTTTCTGGCCATATGTTGAGATACACCTCGAAACCAATTTTAAGTCGGTACATTGCATAGATGGAATCGACATAACACATCAACATGCTAGTGTGAGGTTCTCTCTTGAGAAAAAGAACAGTACTTGTATCGTGTGTGGGGGATTTGGTCTGTTACCTCAAAGTCTGGCGGCATTCATTGGTTAAGTTTTCACTCTCCCACATACTTCAAAGGTTTCTGATATAATGTCAAGGGAGGCAAAGAGATAATCGTTTGCATTTATTGGTTAAAAGATGGTTTCATAACTCTATGACCTTTGACCTTTGAGGTGAAAGGTTAAACGCACTCAACTATGCTGTTCTATGCCACACCTAAGACCCGCTCGGTATAAAACGATTGAAATAAACACTATCCAACAAACTGCTTTTATCACACATAGAATTTCTTTCAAAATATGGCAGCTAGGTCAAAGGTCGACAAGAGTCGAAAGAAGCATATCTAATATCAGTGGTCTCTTTTAAGAGAACATTGGAATGAGAATTTTTTTTTTTATAACTTTTTTCTGTTTTTTCTTTTTCAATTCTATAATACTACAAACAAGTTAAAACACCATCTGTTCGCCTACAAGAATAAACATGTTTATTTTCTGTATTCTTAATATACATGTACTTCATAAAACTCTTATGCACATACTGTTGTGAGTAGCACTGTACACTGCGCAACACAATCAGATGCAGAAAAGTATGGATTCAACCAAGATTCACTTATTTCCAGAGTAGAAATGAAAAAGAAAAAAAAATAATAAAGTAAAAGGAAATATTGTAATAAACCTAATTTTCCTACAAACAAAAATGATGCTTTCGCTTATATCAAAATTTATCAAAATAAGTACCCATCACCAATTATCCTAAGACCTATTTTGCCTACTATTCTGTTTGTTTTGGCACCGTAAACCAACTGGGACAGATCTAGGTTGCATAATGCAGCTGTCAACTTTACTGATATTAATAGAAACACCGAAATGCAATGTACAAAAGCTATTTGCTCCCTCTCTGCGAAATAAACATCGCAATCGTACGAAAGATGCTAAGACCAACACCGGAACTGCCCAGTCAGTGCGTTGTTCCCCCTCCCTACTACGCGACTGTGATCGTCCGATCAGAGTCGACGCAGTAAGCATCCTGTCACATTCTTTGCATCACATGACACAGTGGTTGTCGGGTAAAGATTTCATCTGGTATGTTTACAAGCGCACATGTACATCAACTCTGTTAAGCTAGACTTGTTATCCTGATATTCGGAAGCTAGGCAGTTACCGGTTAACACTTAAACATCTGACACGACACTTTCACTGTCTTACACCTTGGACTCAAATTACTCTATTTTGGTCTTTTTCATCTCCTCTTTTCCATCTAATTTTATAACAGTAAATACTTCTCATTTTTGCAAAACATCAATCAATATAGACAATATATATAGATATATTCAATATACATATTTATATCTATCTATCACAAAAGAGTAGACGATTGAACATCATATATCGAGATTGAAGTTGCAATAATGACAATTTTTTTCATATTTTTAAAATTCAATTCAACCTGTATAGGTAGATCCACATTGAATGGCAAAAACTATATGGATAAAAAGTGCAAATAAGAATGTCTGATTACTAACAAGACTTCTAATCTAGAAATGTGCAATGTAGTAACTCTTTTCAACTAAAGTGCAATTGACAAATCTAATATCCTAGACAGTCAAAACATCTTTTGTGCGATTATACAAAAAGAGCTAAAAATTGTCTTAAATGATTGAACATATTCTCAAAAACTAGTCTTTTATTATAAATCGAACACATTCCACACACATGAACATCTTTTTTTTTCTTCTTTTAACTTGCTTAGTATTGCTACGGAACCCCTGTAATACAAACAACCCTACCCATTTGATTGTAATACAACTATGAAGAGATAAAAAGGAAAAGGGGGTATAGGAAGATGATGGCAAAAGAAATGTTGGACTAGAATTATATGACTACTTCCAATAAAAAGGGAAGAAAACCGATAAAGAGAACTGCAATAGAAATATGTGTACATGACATACATAGTGTTATATGGTATAATGTTGTACGGAAAATCCATCATTTACAAACACATAGCATGATCTATACCTGAATTGAAACGGGGTGTGTATAATGAAGTAACTACGAAAATATGATATAAATAACAATTAATCTTATTCCTCAAATCTGGGTACCAATCAATTCTTTAACGTTTGGTATCCACCAGAAAGCAACATAAAAATCATTTACAACAAGACTGAATGCCAAGATAATTACACACATCTTTACTTAATTTCCCCATTTTTTTTGTTAAAACAGAACAGTTGTATTTTATCGTCATTTACAAAGAACAACATACAGGTGTATGGTCTGAATTCTATCTCTCACTCACTATCTCTCACGCTTTCTCTCTCACATGCATGGCACACTCTGAAGAAGAAAACCCTGACGCTCCACAGGGTGAAAGCGCAGAGGGCTACTGAAAACTTGGGCAGAGACTCCAGAGAGACCCCTAAGCTTCTAGTTTCCAATGGCCCACTGATTGCTTTCTTCTTTGCCCCTTTTCAGGAACATTCAGAGGTACGGAAAGGCAGGTGAAAACGTCGGAATTTAACAGATTTGCTTAGAAAAATGAAAAACGTGCAAAACAAAGTTGCATCAATAAACGAACTGAATACTTCATCGTTGGTTATCTGCAAGCAGACAGTGTTTGATCTAGGTAAGTTAACTTTTGAGAGAAGAATGTTCTGTCTGTTTGTCTACATGTTATGCTGTACAGAAATCAAAACGTCCAGCAACGGTCGAATTATTCACTTATTCTGAGTTACCGAATGTAACATTGTGATTGAGAGAGCAGTGTGAGCACATCTAAAAAAATAGAACACTTCTAAACTTTGGTATCTTTACTGCAATCTGATGTTTCCGATGTCGCATTCGCCGTGTATCGAGTGATTAAATCAATGATTTTCTGGTGATAAAATTCAACGCATACACATAACAATGGCATATAAAAAGAGAGCATACATACATGGTATTTGGTAGAGAATTGAGGAAAAGAAGAAACCTAATTTTTTTTTAATCTGTGAATTAATACCTTTTTAGCAAATCATGAATACCTTCTGATCTGAAAATATCAAAACTAAACTACCCGTAAGAGAAGATGCAAGGAAACCGAGAGGGGGCAACAGAGAGCCAATGAGCCATCAGTACAAATCAGCCGATTAACAATGATTTTGGTCTTTTTGAGGAGGGGAAAATCGCAAGATTGATGCATAATGGGATCGTTCACAAATTCGTGTCTCGCCTGTCCAAGAAAAGACGGACGACTCCCAACATACAAGCTTTCTCAGGCCCCTGGGTTTGTCGCCCCCTACCATCATCGTCAACCCTGACAGAAGTAAACTGGTGTTTGTGTTTCACTTGAACCTTCTCTTGCCCGAGCGTCCTTTTTTGTTTTCCTTAGAAAAGAGATTTAAATTTGAAGAAGGAAAAGACTACGGTTTTTTGTCATTATTAATAAAATTCACTCTGTATGTTACATCTCATCCTTGGCTTGTGACTTGCCCAAGTTGAATATAACAGTGAACTCCGACCTGTCTTTGATATCGTAAAGTCCGCCCCTAGGTTCAATGTTGCCGGTATAGGCTTCACACTGGATTTTGACATCTTTGCCTTCAGCTTCCTCTGCGTTGAGGGTGACGCGGACGGCGACATACGGAGAGACGTAGAGAGCCTGCTTCTTCTTGTTTGTACCCGTCACGTAAGGATAGTAAGCGAATGGCAGACCAGTGGGTGGGTAGATGGTTGTGCCATTGACAGACGAAACATCCTTATCTTTCTGCAAATTAAAAAGAAAAGGATAAAGGGATGATATGAGTAACTGTGAACTCTTATGTGATATCTGTTACAGTGGAACTTTAGTATAACAAACTTGTTAGGATCAAGGACATTGCCTTGTTACATTGAAACCTTGTTATATCAGGTTATAAAAAGCACAAAAAACAGAAAAAAGTGTGATTCACAAACTTCATGAAAGTTTTACAGTCGATGCCTTTTGAACTTCTTTGATTGCATAGGGAGGCTCATGAAAACATAGTTGAGCTTCTCAAACAGTTATTTAAAGTTTTAAAAAATACATTTCAAACCTCGCCAGGTTGGGAGGGGGATCGGCATAATATTAAATTGTTAATTCAAGCCTATAAACCATGAAATAGTACAATGTGTTTAAGAGGTAACACGACATGGTACCCATACTAGTAGTCGATGTGGGGACGACCTTGCACGGAATACACAGGTGAAGGTTGTAGACTCACATGATGGCAAGGCTTGCAAATTGAGACAAATTGGATGGTTCCTGCCATGAGGCTTAAGTGGGGAGTGGAGGAGTGGGGGAGGGGAGGAGTAGGGGAGGGGAGGAGTAGGGGAGGGGAGAGGGAGGGGAGGGGAGAGGGAGGAGTAGGGGAGGGGAGGGGAGGAGTAGGGGAGGGGAGGAGTAGGGGAGGGGAGGGGAGGGGAGGGGAGGGGAGGGGAGGGGAGGAGTAGGGGAGGGGTGGAGGAGTGAGGGAGGGGTGAGTGGGTGAGGAGTGAGGGAGGGGTGGAGTTGGGAAAGGGAGGGAGGGGAAGGGGAGGAGTGGGGAGGAGAGGAGTGGGGGAGGGGAGGGTAAGGAGAGAGGAGGATAGTTTAGAAAAGGCAGGTTGGGTTATCAGGTAAGAACTTCTGCAGTAGAGTGTCGATGCCTGCAAAGCTATCTATCATTTCATTCATCTCATGTCATCATCTCATACACTGAAATATCCCCACAGAAACTCAGCTTTTTTTGTTGAAAAGCTCGGGAATTACATGAAAGAGATGTAATATGTCACCAAAAGCCAAGTGTAGCAAATTGCTTCATAACATCTTTTCAGATGGCCCTTCCCTGCCCCTCCCCACTCGCTATTAATGGCATATTTTGTGTACTCTTCAAATATCCCCAACATGCAGTTGATGACTGCATTCTTTTGTAACTAAAAGCTGATAAGGGCTACCTAACGCACTATACCTACTTCCGCTACAGATAATTGACCAACCAAGTTCAATTCTAATCTTCCTATAGTTTGGGCAGCCTGCATTCCCTCATAAGAGAGAGGGGGAGGCTAGGGAAATGCATTATCAACATGGTGGCGTCTATCCTGTCCCGTCTCTCCCAACTCTCACCTCACCGGTACTACCCCGAAATTATGGTTAAATCAAACATTGTTTCAGTATGAGACACCAACCCAGGTTCACAGACTCGGTCATAATCATGTGATCCGATATGCCCTAGAATTCCCCTCTGAGGGAGTGGGTTAATCTACCCGGGTAAGAGGGTGAGGGGGGGCAAAGGCTATCACAAGGGTTTATTCAGGGTAATATACGTCCCTAACCCCCTCCTGGGGCCTGCAACTTGAACTTCTCAACTCGAAGTCGACTCAGACATGGGGGCAATTCCCTTTTTTGCCTTCTCTCTACAGCTATCAGGGGGTTTCTATTTCCTCTCACCCTCTCTCTCCGTCTCTCTCCGTCTCTCTCTGTCTCTCTTTCTCTCTGTTTCCTGGGCATGTGTCCAAAAGCATAGAGCACTGCATGTCAAGGTAACACATGCGCCCTAAAAATACTGGGATAATTCATCAGGGTGAATCAGAGAGCAAGAGCCAAACCAGGAGCAAACCACGTCCGGCTGCAGTTGACCAAGAAAAAAATGCCGGGTTCAAGAGAGGAAATTTCTTAATCCATTCAAAAAGTTGGTACAAAGGACTCTTTGTAGGGCATAGAGCAAGATAAAAGATTGGATCTTAAAGGGCTACAGTTAATATATGTATCAAATACAACAAGAAATACTGAAGTTTTGAAAAAACAACCAGTTCAAAAGACTTTATTGATCTGTTACCAAAATAAATTCAGAAGAAAGGGGCTTTTCTGGCCCAAAGGTTGGATCTTTATGATTTAATCAAAATGGAATTTTGCTATGGGCATTCATGGTAACAAGAACTCTCTTGAAGGCATACAGCTCGTCATGGATGGAAACTATGCTTGAGACCGACTGAGCAGACGATCTTGCAGGTTATGGGAATCTGCCTGACACAGCCCGGCTGATGAGTCACATGGCTCATGAAATCAGAAATTTTGCCTGTCTCTCTCTGAAATTATGAAGATCTCCCACCTAAAGCAGCCCGTCTCTCTTCTCTTGATTTTCCAAAAGCTTTATTCGCAATGACATTTCACAGGAAGTAGAAGTATATCAGTTGACACTGATCTGCATAACGGTCAAGTTTCTCCATAGGACAAACCTAAACCAAATGTAAGAACGATCAGCTTCAATGGCTGGTGTGCAATGCTCTCAGACACTTGTGTTCTCATGACCCAGGAGAGCAGTGAGGGGGGAAATACACACTGCCACTGCCACCCCCTCCCCCCAAACTAAACCCAAATCTAGCCCCAAATATCAAACTCTGATATGGATGTATGCATACCATTGCTGCAGATAGCTTAAAAGCAGAATCAATATGTCTTGGAACCTAATAAACTTGTATGCATTTAAAAAAAAGCATGACACAAGCTGTTGGTCTGAAATCATGCAAAATCCTATTAAATCTTTCTTCCTTATGTCCTTGATGTGCCCTTAGTGCTTGTGTAGCCATGACAATTATTTCAGTTCTAACCATTCTCCTATGACTTAGCATGCACCATGCAGAATGGGTGATTGGACATTTCCTCCAGCAACAACGGCTCCGGGCTTTACTTTGTCAAACATAATGGGTTAGAGTTAAGTTTGCAGTTAGGTTTAGCCTTAGGGTTATGGCAGGGCTCGACACTCAACAGGCATTCAGGACAAATAGGGGCCAAAGTCCGGACTCCAAAGATTTCAAAATTGGAACACAGAGCTCATGCATACAATTTCTAAAAAGTTCACTCTGGACACCCTTCCAAAAATGTTAGCATGACGCCTTGGGTAGAGTCAGGGTTAGGTGTTTGGTTCCAGGTTGATGTTCATAATTTGGCTAGTGCAGGAAGTGCATGGTGGATCAATTGTTGCAGGAGCATGATTCGTTGTACAACCCTGCAGAGTGCACAGGTGCATGCGTGGTACAACCCTTCAGAGTGCACTGTAGGTGACTGTACTTACGTATGGCTTGCAGGTGATCAGGATGTGTCCACTGACGTAACCTTCTGGGACGTCTGTAGCATCGGCTTCAGGGTCTTCAGGAGTCCATCCCCAAACCTGCAGGCACAGGAACGAACAATGTGTACATTAATGATGGGATTAAACAACAGGTATTCTGAAAAAGAAAACAAAGCTAGACTTCAGGACAATAGATGGACAAATGAAATCGTTTAACACACTGGCAACCAAGGATGGGAAAAAGAAGAAGAGGAAGGCAGAAGAGAAGATAGAGAGATGACCTAACATCATACATGGGAATGGCCGCTTGGACTGGGATAGCTAGAGACAGAAGAGAATGGAAGTGTTATGAGGAGGGCTTTGTCCAAAGTCTGGATGAACTATAAGCCTGATTGATAGATAGATAGATTCTGAAAAAGAACCCCATATGTCATCGTCATTGTCCATTCCCTCACCCGTGAGGAAGGAATTGAAAATGTTCTTTAAGATTCTTTAAAAATTAAGAACTAAATCAGAATACATGTTTCAACAATTCATCTCCCTTCCCTTGAAGAAAAAATGTTCACTTCGTGAGCTAACCTTGGTGCTGAAAGCGATCCCTACTTCTCACACAGAGAGCTGTATCATACCACATTAGGAAATGCATTATTGAAAATGACAATCGACCAGCTAGGGTATTCGACTTGATCATGTTATGAGATTGGATGCAATTAGACTATGGAGACACATCCAAGTTCCTATTAAAGGGAAGGTAGAGTTTTGGTGAAGATGAAAATACCTTATGAGCTTTCACATTCTTTGTATGTCACTTCGGAAGAAAGTCATAAAAGAACTGTCATCTGATAAGGATTGCTCTTCAAATGTCCTTGTATTTGAAATATGATAAGAAAAGTTTGGACCACATCTTTGTGTGCCACATTTGTGTGTTGTCCTATTTCTGTGTGCAGTGCATTTTACTTTCCGCCAGATTAAGTCAAATTCATGTTGAGGATTCCCAAGATATTACAGTACATGCTCCATTCATTGTGTACTACATAAACAATTCCTTTTCCAATTGCTTCAAGACAGTTTCTTGAACGATGTAATTATACGATCAAGGCTCAACTTCATCTTTAATTGTCGTGAATTAGGGGACACCAGCGATGAACATCTTTATTACATGACTTTTCTTCTGGCTCTGAAAGAGCAATTTGCCTGAGGAGCAAGTGTACGACGATGCAAGTGAATTGATCTATCTGTGGGGTAATGAACGCATGGGCATAGACGGTTTACACCTGGGTACAATCCACAAAGACATGTCTGTGTAAGGTACTGGGGGCTAGTGCTCAGTGTATTATTCAGTACCATGGAAAGTCTATTTCTAAAGGATTTGTTTAATTTTTTAATTTCCAAACTTTTGGGGGGGGGGGGGGGGGTGGTGGGGATATCATTTTATAAAAGGTACATAGTAAGGGATGCATTTGGGTTTTAGGCTAGGTTTAGGTATAGTGTTCGGTCCAGGGGGGTGTTTCACAAAGATCCTAATTTGAACTTATCTCTAAGTTTGACTTAACAATTATGGAAAGCTGTTAGCATCTATGAACATTTTTTGTAAAAGTAATTTTTACAAGGCATAAAATGTTGATTCAAATCATTAATTTTCTATTATCAAGGAGATTTCATGTTCTTGATGTGGAATTTATAAAAAGTCTAAAATACTTGAATTTTCGCTTTTGAATACATTTTATTTGTGGGAGGAGCAAGTCTCATACAATCCTGAAGTCTGCAAGGAGGCTCAGTAATTAGCACTTGAGTAACATGGGAAATTGGTGTATAACAAGTATTTGAGTTAGGAAGACATCTATTATCAGAGGCTCTACTTTAAAAAAAATTGACACTTACAGGAAGAGATAAGACAGGAAAGAGGAAAGAACAAAAGAGGGCATAAAAAGGGTCCTGGAGTTTGGAAGTCAAAAGGTGCTCTGTATGATAGGTTGTGTTTCTCACAATAATTGCAAATTGCTTACTTCAACCCTAGACCAAACACTTAAAACTCACCCAAACCGTAACCCGAAACTAACATAAAACTCGACTGTAACACCACATACTTTGACAAAACAAAGACTGAAGCAATTGTCGCCAAACCAAATATTGGAGCAACATTTAGTGAAAATAATCTCTATATATTTCACCATGATTAGAAATCATGGATATGACCTCAATGTTAACTTCACTCTACATTGTTCTATGATCATCACATGCAGTACAGCACAAGAAGTTGGGGAGTATCACTTTACGTAACTCGATGCTTGCATTGTTAGCACACTTTGTGCGCAAGCGAAACCATACGAGTGTCTAATATTAGAAGTCAATTTTGAAAGGAGTTACCAAAGCAATTTACTGCGGCTCTTGGGTGAGGATTGAATGGCTTTCAAGGCACTACCTGGTTATTGCCTAAGTCTGGGATATGATGATACTTCCACATTTAATATTGCATGTTTGGAGCCAAATGGGTGTTAACTCTATGTTAGAGTAAATGAGTGAACTTCCTTCTGGATCCAAACAGAAGTTTTGATCTTTTCAACAAGGTGGAATTAATACAGAACATGTACATGTACTTAGTATCAATCGTTTGATACTGTTGTGGTACTGTCTGTGATGTTAAGCCATTTAATTTGAATTGTGACCCCCCGAAAAGTAAAATATTGTTGAATTTGTCAATTAAGAGCCCTCTATTTACCCTGTTCATATTGACAAAGACGCAGGGTTCCGTCGAGGTGTACCCAAAGTAGTTCTCTGGAGTGCAATACTGGCCAAGATGCTCGCGGTTAAAAGAGCAGAGTCTCTGCATGGTCTTGTTGCCTGCCTCTGTGAGCGGGTCGCATTCTTCAGTGTGTTCTTGCTCGTCAGGTGAAAGTGCTTCAGAGACAGATGGGATGAAAAGATGGGTTAATACCACAGCACAATGAATGGGGAGATGTATGTCTACGCACCTAAGTCTTGACTTCAAAATGACAAGGACTTTCTTAAAGATAAAGACCAGTTACGGTCATTGATTGAATTGTGAAAGAAACGTTGTGGAATCGATCAGAAAAGGTTGATCATTTAGCATATAAGTATTGGTGTGTACTGCAAAGTTCTGGAATCATCAAAATGAAAGGAAATTTGGCCCAGTCTTGGTAAAGTTACAAGCACTGTACATAGACAGATGTATATGGGACTACGTGCCACGTGCGCGCACATGCGTTATATTTATCCGATCCAAATAGATAAAGTAATTTACCAAATATATTAATTAGTTGGGGGTTTCTCGTAACCTAGTTTCTCGTCAAAATCATCACGTATTATTCAAAACATATTCTTTCACATGATTGGTAATAAGAGCTTCCATTTCATTTTTTGAAAGGGGGGCATTTCAAAAACTGGACTTTACCTTCAATTCTATTCCTGTAATGCTTAAGCTGTTATTATTCCTCATACATTCTAAGGAGTAAGTGTGCAAAATTCTAGCCAGAACAATGCCTTTTTCACTAGAAAAGCAGTCAAGTAAAAATAAAGATGTCACATATCTGCACATTCTTTCATGTTACACACAGTTTTGGACTTTTCATGTGAAAGATAGCATATCAAGGCTTGTGTTATAATAAAATCACTGAAATTTGAATTTTCTTTAAATTCTTCTCTTTTTTTTGCATTAATATGTATTGCTATTAATAGAAATTTTAAAAAAAATGCGTTTGTTTGATAAAAATTGTGGAATTACCATTTGTACACAATATCCTTGATTTTACCCTTCATATGCACAGCTAGTACAATTAAAATGCTAAGGTACTTACAATTCCAGGTTTCGTTCATTTTTTTGAAAATGTCCTCGATTGTGCGCTCATTGGTTGGTGTGTAGCTAATCCTTTCTTCGATAAAACTTGGTGTTACAACAAGACCTAGGAGGGGAACAAAAAATAGATTTTTGAACATCTCATTCTTAGATGATGATGATGATGATGATGATGAGTTGACAACTGCCACAAAATTACAGATTATAAACATCAATAAGATACAAATACTGACTACTATCTTTCTAAAATAGTGCACTGTCAGGATTTGAATGTGATGTAAATTGATCCCGTCTAAACTCTCTTCTACAAGGTGCACTGTTAGCCACAACTTTTTGCATCCCAACTACATATTCTTTACCATGGACAAGAAACTACAGGGTTCCCAGTATTGCATGAAAACACAAGTCAGTGATTTTATTCTCTGGTGGAATTTTAAAATTCCTGGATCCTTACAGGAGGCCATTTACTGAACAGCCATCCTAGCTAGTCATCCGGTAAATATGCTCTTTGGACCCGAGACAAGTTATAAGAAACAGAATTGTTTCTTTTGAGCCCAATGAAATTCTGAGATTGGAGAGCTTTTTCTTGAGCTCTGTGCCTCCCCCCCCCCCCCCCCCCCCCCACAGGAAAAAAAGAAACTTAGTTTTCCAGGTTTGCCCGGATTTCCAGGATGGCTACAAAGCCAGGACTAGGAACCCATTTGATCCGCTCTCCACTTACCTGGTGTACTAACGTATGAGACCCATTTGGGACGGTCGTAATCCACCGTTTGCATGAAAACAAGCAACATACAGGCCCAGAATGCAGCTAAACAGACGTAGAATATAAAGTAGAAAAGTGAGATTTTACCTGGAGAGGGAGAAAAACAAGAAAGAGAAGAGAAATACAAAATTAGTACAAGGCATAACACTTGAGCAATAATAAATATGAAGACTTTCACAAATAGTTTGTTCGGCTAACTTGACTGGGTTCTTTAAGGGCAATCCAGATTTCTGTAACAAGATGAGTTGGGTGAAAACATTTTTTTAATGTTGGATTTCCCTTTAAAGGTTACTATGTCCCTTTTGCAGCCAACCTCAAATGCTGTAGAACTTTGCAGGAATTATGAATATGTCATGTATGTCTTATCTGTGAAATTTAACGTTAGCAGTGTCCTCATATTCAAATTATGCAAGGAAACCCGTTTACTTGCTAGACTTCACTGTCAGACACTATTGAGTGACTGACTGGCTTTTTTCTTCTTTGGTAATAACATACATGAAAAGAGTTGTAAAGGGTACATGAGCATTTGTCTTCATCAATAACCCACTTCTTGTGATGGCCAAGATTAAACTGATTGAATCTTTGCGCAGCATAAAACGTATGACCATTCGGTACAATCGTGTGAAAATCAAGACTATTACTTTTGGGCTCTATAGCCCTAAAGCATACCTGCCAACCTGAGACAAGAGAAATTAGGAGTAAATTTTTCTGGACGGACTACGAGGTCGCGAACCACCGAAGGATTGGGGTAGTAGCCCGTAGATTGGGGGGGGGGCAGAGATGCCAACCCTATAGGATGGCTGTCAGTAACATTTACCATATTTGTCCGTAACAAATGGGGGTCTTTCCGTAACGCAAGACACCGCAGCATAATTTTCGCGCAAAACGTACACAAACACCCAATCACTCTTACTGCATTTCGAACCTACCATATTCAAGTCCAAAATAAAGATGTGCATAAAAACGTTTTTAAAAATCTGTTTCCAGTCAAAGGATCTCCTTTTCGGGTACTCGCTCTTTTGAGTGAATCCATGATAATATTCAGGAAGAAAACACCTCGTTCAAGCGTCGAATGGCAAATTCGAATCCACAGTCAAATGGCAGAGCTCGTATTCTACACACGCACACGTACACTCACCAGTACCACAGACACACCATACAGCCCAGGCCGCTAGGCCCGGCGTTCATGAACAACAACACACCGTATACCGCACTGCACTTGCAATGCGCCCGCTGAATCACCGAAGTCTTCGCTACTATATTGCGGGCGCCATGCGCACGATCATCTACCCCCATGCTCCCCTCAAAAGGCACGAACGCACGTAGCATACGTAGCGGCCGTGTTGTTTTGGAATTAAACAAGATGGCGGCGGACGGACCATGTGCACGAAAGTGTCTATCCAGTGTAGTCAAATTCAGTGAACCTATGAGTGAATGCGTGCGACATGCAGCGCTGTGTGCGGAGGCTATGTGATAAGGCGGCATTCGCTATATAAAGTACTTATGTTTATCGTTTCCCCGTAAGGCGTGATCTGGTTATCAGTGCTGTGTTATGCTTTAGTCTTATGCAACAGTCGTTTGTTTTAAAAATATTTTAAAATTACAAAAAATCGGAGTTTTGAGGCATGCAATCGGAATTCGGAGTGGGTATGAAAAAAGCGGAGTAACTCCGCCTAAATCGGAGTGGTTGGCAGGTATGCTAAAGTCGATTTGACAACTAATAGTCGTTATTTTCCCACTTGAAGACATTTTCAAGCCCCACCTTTTTTAGAGAAGTTCTAAATTAGTATTATCTTTCAAATGCAGTTGGAATTTAACTTTTTCATTTTTTTGGCCTGCAAATGGGACATAGTACCTTTAATCATTGCATACACTGAACAAGTGCCCCCTTAACAATGATGACAGATTATGCATTTTTGAATTTGTATTAACCGGCAAAGAAATACATCTGCATCATTTACTTAAATGGACTTGTCAGATCCAAGGCACTCTTAAATGATTCACAACACGCACCAGAGACGGCATAAATGTCCTTCATTCTCCTCCAAGCTCACATCCAACCTAAACAGCTGCCTCGAAACACACCACCACCACCACTCATATTAATAATTCATATCCATGATCCACTCTACAAGGAATATGAATAGGTGAGCGCAATAAGGGCACGAGAACACACAGATTTTGCTTATTCCAGTGCCTAGATGCCCTTCTGTCTCTCATCAACCCATACATCATTACACACTTGCGTATGATCGTGACACCCACTTGGGTTTACCATGCAAATTTGATCCGCAGAGTATCTCTGAAAATGGATTACATGACATCAGTGATACGTAAATGGTTGAGGTAACCCTTCTGAGCATCCATACAGCTGGTCAGATGTTCTATTAGAATACTATCAGGTGACCCAGAAGGGCGTTAGCGCAGTGGAAGCGTCTATGAGTTAGCAGCCTTCTGGCTCTCAACAGACTCTCAACAGACTCTCAACAGACGACATGATGTCAATATGAATCCCAAGCTCTTGTAAGTTGGTCACAGGGAAAAAAAAATTGATATTTATTTTTGGGGGGCTACTTTTCAAGCATGCCTGCATGAATATAACATTCTAAAATTTATTTTGCATTGACCTCTATGCAAATTTATGTGGGCTATTTCGCCCCGAGCTCCGGTGTATTTTTTTCACTGGTTGGTCAAGTGAATGCCTCCATAGATAATGGTTCAAACCCATGTCACGTCTACTGTAATATCAAATGCTATTAAAGGTAAGTCCAACATATAAATAATAATTAATGCAAGTGCAACTCCACAGTCCTTGGTTTGCATGCAGAAATACTCTGCAATGCACTTTTTTTTATTTGCTTTTGAAGAAGAAAAACAAACCGCAACAATGCATAATCCAATCTTCCCCAATAACATTTGTGGAAACAATTTTTTACAGTACAGTACAGTACTGTACTTCTATATTTCCTTTCATGATTCATCCCAACAAGAAACTAAAGAACAAATATGATATCGTGAGCTTCAGCAGTCAATATTTGATATGAATTTTGGACCAAGAAGGACTAAAACTTGAGACAGGCAAGAAAGGGGCATTCTACACATTTTGAACAGCGGAGGATCATAGTTGTTTGAAATGCTGTACTTGTGCCTGATGAAAGAATTGAGTTGTCAATATAAGAGGAAAAAAATAATCACTTATCAAACACTCTTACTAATAAGCACAATATTGTACTTGTCTGATATGAGTTTATTAATGTATCTTATTGCTATACAGCTTCATCGCTTTAGTGTGAGGAAAGAAGTTTAAAAAAAGAATAAGAGTGGGCAGGTTTGATCTTATTGGTCAATATTTAATGAAGGGTATCCAACAATGGCAAGATTTTCGATGCACTCTGAAATGTGCGTCACACTCACTCGAACTTAGCCCCCTCGTTTCCCTATTTCCTGTTAATTCATTTCATACACCATTTCTAAACTGATGAATGATGAGCTAATGCATGTGGACAATGGAAAATTGGTTTGTAATCCCTGCCTTCTGTCAAAAATCAAATCCCCCCCCCCCCTCTCTCTCATATACTCATGCCGTAACTATGGCATTCTTTCTAAATCAATGGAAAATTATCCTGAATGCATTCTCTATTCAGACAGCTTAACATCCACTGGTTTGTACCAAACACAATTGCTTTGCAGCATATAATCTGATCCATTCCCCTTCTTTCCTCTTTTGCTCCCTCTCTGATTTGTGCATAGACCTTCCTCCCGATGGAGACCCTCAATATCCATTTATCCTCGCTCTCCGTTATAACGCATCGGCTCTAGCTCACTCTAAATTGTGTGTCTAAAAATAACGCATGTAATATGATTAACCGGGAACATGACTGTGCAAATTACGTGGGTAAGAAAAAGAGGAAATAATACATGTACATGTATCTGATTGTGTACCATCCTATTGGAACACTTCATACCCCACTCCCCTCATCTCCAACATCCACCCTAACTCCCCCCCCCCCCTACCCCCAGAAGACACAAATCTATAATGTATTGACAGAATGATATCCCTATATCTAAACACACCTGCTCTAGCTTTTTAGAATATGAACGAATCACTGATTCTGTGTGTATCTTGCATAGAATCGAATGGGGATGCATGTATCAATGACTTGTTCAACAATTGTGACATCTACAGTACATCAATGTACAATACATGCACCTGCTTGATGGCTTAGTAATCTATACAAATGAAATGGACGTTGTACAAGATGTGCAAAATTGCTTGCAGTACTCCGTTTTCAGCTTGTACGTTCGTAAACAGCGAAGAAAAGGGGGGAAATCTGTTAACGTTTGTGTTTTCAACTGTCTTTTTTTTGCCGTCTACAATATATGACGGCAACACTTGCTTATAGAAAACCAACAAAAAACTCGATTTTATTCTGTATTGGATCTGTATGTCTTGATAAAACAAGATGGCAAGCAAGTGGTACTGTTTTCCCCCTGTTTAATGGATAATTATGAGGTTATCAGTTCTGAAAATAAAGTTTTTATGGTTCTATAATAAGTTCATGACCTTTTATGAATATGATATGGAAGAAGGGTGGAGTACATTAAAGCTCTTTATACAAATACTGTTTACCACCGAGTGTAACTTCTTGACAAACTTCAAAATGAGATACAGCTATTCACATGTACTAAAACTAACAGTGAGCCTACACATTCAGTTTCAGCTTTATTACAACATAGTGTTACTACGTAGATCTCAATATATAGGACAACAGTGTATTCTGCATACTACAAAAGTGGGAGGTGTCCCGAAAACTTGAGGAATTTACGAGCTTTAAAGGGGCAATCAAAGCATTTTCCAATAAATATTTGCACTTCTTATCAGCCATTCATAGCTAACAGGTCCAGTATGGATAAGGGTTATACACCTGAGCAGTGCTGAATAAATGGAAGAGATATACACGTAGATTTGGGACTTGAATGGGCTATTATGCAAAAAGGAATGCGTTTCTGAACAATTAACTATTGAAATCTACACTGTATCTACACTGATCTAGATAAATGATGTGTACAGCAATGGTGGTATTATT